GTCTGATCAGTCTTATGGGTATAAAATTGTATCTCATGTTGGTTTTAATTTGCATTTTCTTGATTACTGGTGGGGTTGTTTCTGTTCATATATTTGTTGAATTATTGAAATACTTCATTTTCTGTTAATTTTCTGTTTGTACATTTTGTTCATTTTTCGGTTTTTATTTATTTTTAGAGTATGTATTGTAGACATTAAACATTGCTTGATGTTATGTTTGGCAAATATTTATTCCCAACTTCTGGCCTGCATTTTTCTGGCTTATGATAAATAAAAGTATTTGAATTACTTTCCAAAGTTTAAATATTTTCCACGTTTTCCTAAAAATTTTTAAATTGTGCATTTTACATTTCAGTTTTTAATCTACTTTCAGTTGTTTTTTTGCATGTAATATTAGGTAGGTATCTAAATTCATCATTCCCCTTGTGGATAACCAGTTTGCCCTGCACATCTTATTATATTATTTTATTTTACTTTATATTTTATTTTACTTACTGTTGTTATTTTTTTGTCAATCTTCACCTGAGGATATTTTTCCATTGACTTTCTTAGAGTGGAAGGGAAGGAGGGAGGGAGGGAGAGAGGGAGAGAGAGAGGGAGAGAGAGAGGGAGGGAGAGGCGTCTCTATGAGAGACACACGGACTGGCTGCGTCCTGCACACGCCTGCGTCCCGCACACGCCCCGCCCAGGGCCGGAGCGAGCCTGCAGCCGAGGAACGTGCCCCTGACCAGGAATCAAGCCTGGGACCCTTCAGTCCGAGGGCTGACGCACTAGCCACTGAGCCACCCGGGCCAGGGCCACCCACACCTTTTACAACTACTAAAAGCAAATGAAATTTTATTTCCTCTTCCTTTGTTAAAGGGGCTAAAAAGCAACCACAAAGTTAAAAACTAAACAGAAGAAAGAATGAGAAAAGGCTTAACTATAGATAATTAACAGATGAATAATTCATGTCCAAATCATTGAAAATTGCTAATTAATATTTTCCTCTAAGCAATTACTCGTATTCTTTAGCTCTACTTAAATCTTTATGGAATCACTGAAGTTGCTTCCTGGCCACGTGTCTCTGACAAGGGCAAATCCTGGGATCAGCGTCCACGAAGAATCTGCACACAGGTGCTCACACACAGCGGGGCCCGAATCCGGGCGCTCATCTTTCAGAGGCATCTTAATTACCAGGGGCATTTCTACCGCACTGTCATCACAGCTCTCACAGGGGGGCAGAGGCCAGAGCAACTGTGCCAAGGAGCCATTTAGAAAGTCAGCAAAGCTCTACAAACCATCTGTCTTCTCTCTTGTTCTCTCACTTGTTATCAGTGTAGACAACTAATAAGCAGGCATAAAACTCAGGGTGCTTGGATATATTTTCCCCATATAACTACAGACCAGATGTCTTTTGCCAACAGGAGGATATGAACAGAATCTAAAGTAGCCTTTTCCTAAATAAGATAAAACAATTTAGAAACTTTATGCATCGAGTAGGCAAAAAACTAATGAAGTCAGTGTACGCCTCAACAAAATAAAAGAAACTACTAACATGTCTAAAAAGCATTAATCATTATACGGGACAGAAGAAAACAGACAAAAGAATATATACTGTATGATTCTATTTATATCAAGTTCTAGACAAGCAAAACTAAGCTGTGGTGATAGAAATCATTAGTGGCTGTTGGAGTCTGGATGGGAGACAAAGGGACTTTCTGGAGTGACAGTTGTGTATCTTCTTAGGGTAGTGATTATATAAGGATATGCATTTCTCAAAACTCATCGAACTTTACACTTAATATTTATACATTTTGTTGTATGCAGATTATATTTCAGTAAAGTAGATTTTTTAATAAATCTACTAGAAAGAAAAAAAGAATTTCTAAAGCCCTATCTTGGTGGGTGACTTTAATAACTTTCTCTCTGAGAAACCAAGAGAAGCAGCAAGCAAAATTAAATTAACAACATGGAAAGTTTAAATCACAAAGGTATGGTATCACATTTGATTTTATAAACACGAATACAGAGAAATTTTTATGCTCAACAAACCAGGAATATACATACTTCTAAATACGCAATGCAACATTTACAGAAACAATCATGTGTTCAATCATAAAGAAAATTCCTAAAAGCTGGTAGAGCCTTAGGTCACAACTGCCCTCTACAATGAGGAAAACCAGACAGAAAAACCAAAAGGCTAGGAAAACTATCACACATTCACATGAATAGCAAACACATCATAACCACCTGGAAAATTCTAAAAGCATTTCTAAATAATTCTTGAACTAAAGAGGAAGACTAAAACTAAAGCTGGCCAAAGAACATATATGCATAGCCAATGGACAGAGACAACAGTGTGGTGAAGGCCAGAGGCAGAGGGCAGGGGCTGGGTAGAAGTGAGTAAAGGGGGGAGAAACGGGGGACATCTGTAATAGGGTCAACAATAAAAATATTTTAAAAAAGAAACAGTCGATATAATTTGGGCACTATAGCAAAAGAAATGGTCAAAGAAGTACTCAGAGGAAAATACATAACCTTAAATGCATTTATTAGAAAACAAGAAGGCTGAAAACAAATAAACATTTAGGTTAGGAAGTTAAAAACCAAAAGAAAGTAGAAAAAAAGGAATTCAGAAAGATAAAAGCAAAAATTAATGAAAAAGCAACCCAAATAACATTAGACTTGGGCTGATTCTTTGAAATCACAATAAACTGGCCTAACCGCTAACAAATTTGATCAAGAAAAAAATGATCAGTATTAGCACAAGAGCTAAAACTGAGCCCCACGAGCCAGGCACTGTACTAATCACTTTACAGACATTTCCCATTTAATTCTCCTGCCAGCCTGACAAGGCATTATTATTACTACTTTAAATACATCCTCTCCTTTCCCTGTTTTATTTTTCTCCCTTAGCACTTTTCTCTGATGTACCAGATATTTTACTTCTTTATCTCGTTTAAGGTTTTTGCCAGCATGACATTTTTATGTTTTGTTCACTGTTGTATTCCCAATATCTAGACCAGTGTCTGACACAAAGAAGATACGGAAAATTTTTTTGATAAATGAGCAGCATAATCCCTATTATATGATGTAGAAATTGCGACAAAAGCAGTTATTTGCCTAGGATTAATCAGATAGTGAGTGACAGAGCTGAAATCCTGAGTTAGGCAGGTGATCTCAGAGGCCACATTACCGATATTGCATCATAGTGCTGCCTTCCTAAAAAACATTAGGGACCAATAAGGGGAGATAACCACAAATACACAGGAGAATCTGAAAATTGCAAGTGAATATATCTGCATATTTATGTTAATAAAATGTAAAATCTCAATGTAACAAACAATTTTCTAAAAAACATAAATTATAAAAATGATTCAAAACGATGTGAAAAACTTGAATAACCTAGAATAAGTTGAAAATATAATAGAAACTTCATCCCCCAAAGGATATCAGGACCAAATATTTTAAGAGGAAATTTCATCAAACTAATGCATAGATAATTTCTACTACCTAAATGGTTCATGAGCATATAAAAAGTGAAAGTGTTTTATTTTTTAAATGAGGCAAACATAACCCTAACATCAAAAAAGACAAGGGCAGCACAAAAGAAAGCAAGCTGCTCTCACAGCTCCTAAATAACGCGGGGACAAACTGAATACAGCAGTGTATTAAACCAAATGGGGTTAAACCCAAAAGTGCAAGGATGGTTCAACATTTTAAAAAGCCATTAATATAGTTAGGGTAACGCAAATTAAAACCACAATGGGATACTACTTCATACCCACTAGAATGGCCGTAATTTAAAAAGACAGGCAGTATCGTGTCAGCAAGGATGTGAAGAATCTAAAACCCTTATACACTGCTAGCAGATAGTAAAATGTTGCAGCCACTTCGGAAAATCATTTGGCAGTTTCTTAAAATTTTAAACATAAGTAATACGTAACCCAGCAATTTCACTCCTAGGAAGCTACACAAAGAAAACAAAACAATATGGCCACAGAAATACTTGTACATGAATGTTCATAACAGCATTATTCCTAATAGCCCCAAACTGGAAACAACCCCCCTGACCATCAACTAACAAATGGATGGACAAACTGGGGCACATCCATGCAGTGGACAACTGCTCAGCAGCGTAAAGGAACAGCCTCCAGCCCCATTCTACACAAGGCTGGACCTCAAAGACACGACACCAGGGGAAAGGAGCCAGGCATAAAAGACTACATACTGTGCAGTCCCGTTTGCAGGGAATGCTCAGAAAAGGTAAATCTAGAGCGACAAAAAGATTAGTGGTTACCTGGGTTTGGGATGGGCATGAGACTGAGTGCAAAGAGGCATGAGGCAACTTTTTGGGGTAGGATTGTTCTGAAACTGGATTGTGGTGATGGTTGCACAACTCTGCAAACGTACGAAAAATCACTGAATGGCACCTTTTTTATGGTATTTAAGTTAGACTTTAGGAAAGTTGTTAAAATCACATTTAGAAAAAATGGAAAATTGTTTTACAAATATATTTAATCCGTATTCTTTATGAAAAACTATTTGATGGCAATGAAATTGAATAAAAAATGGAAGAAGCAAAACACACATGATTTTAGCATGAATTAACAAAAACAGTAATTAAGCTTGGGGTATTACTTAAAGAAATAAAAAACGATAACAAGAGCCCAGAGAAACCATAAAGACTACCATCTTTGAAGGTCAAAGCTATAAGAAAAATGCTAAAACAACTGAAATTATTTGACCTAATAAAAGAAAAAGTAGCTCGATCAGGACCATTAAGTCATGACAGCAAAATCAAATTGCTCAAGTTTTAATCCACATTACTCATTCTACATTTTAATTTTAAAAAATCCAGACCATTTAAAGCTTCCTGACTTACCCATGTAGATAGGAGTCCCGCACGTGGTCTGCAGCATGGCCTCGCTCCCGCCATGCTTCTTCACCGCTAACCCAAAATCCGTCACCTAGAAGGAGAAGCTCAGTCACCCGCGCTCCTGTCCCAGCGTCCAACACTGAAGGCTGGGTTTTGTGACTGCATGTAATTCAGGGGTCCCTGAAGATGGAGGAGCCTGCTTTCCCTCCCCACCCACCCCCTCTGTGAAGAAGAGACCTGATGGAGAGAAGCTGGGCTCCTCAGATCTTGAGAAAACACCCAGAATGCTGACAGTTCGTTCCTACTGACCCAATTCACCAGCTCAACATAGCAAGTGGCATCTTGAGAGAAGGCATTTAACTTTTTTCAAATAGAAGTTATTTTTAAGAAGTTTTTCACTGTAAGATTCAGTCCAGCCTTGTTATGTTTATTATCTACTTTTCTGAACCTCAAGCTATGTTTCTGTTTAAAGCACTGTTATAAATGCAAATCACTATCCTTTTTAGCAGAAACTCCCCCCTTTTGTAATTATTTAAAAAACATTATCTCTGGTAAATACCATCTTTTCTTTGTTATTTCCTTTGTGTTTCTAGAGTGTACTAATTAAAACTACACTATTAGAAACTACAAGAAGCAAATTAACAGGAAAAAAATACAGTATAATACAAATACACTGGAGGCCTGCTGCTGCAACTGCAGTCTTTCGGCTCAGTTCTAAACCTGGTCATTAAACATGTGGTTATTAAATATTCAGTATGTGCCCTTGGTCTTGTCTCCCAAGTTGGAACAGCCTTGGGCTGAAAGCAGAAAAACAGGCACATTTATTGATCACACAACCAAAGATGGGCTGTTGGTCCATAGACACTGAGTGCAAAGTTTCCAGTACCTTACAGAGTAAGAAAATGTTCCTGTCAACAGGTGATATCACTGTTCTTCTAAATAGATTAATCAACTTCCCCAGGAGTTTTCTCAATTATCCCACCTGGAGCACTATGACACATATCTTTCTCCACAGAAAATCTATACAGATGTCAAATAAACAAAAGCTTTCACGATCCAATTCAGTTCTTTGGAGAGCATTTATTCCCTCAGTCACCAAATATTAATTGAGCACATACTATGTTTCAGGCATTACTCCGAGTACCAACAGTGAATAGGGCATACACAATTCCTGCCTTCGCAGAGTTTATGATGTAAATATTCAAGAACATTTACTCAGGTAAAACAACAATGCTGTTAAACCTACTTAAATTACAGGGATTTAGCATCTGCAACAGAGCGCATTAGCCACAGACATTTTGTTCCTAAATTAACGCATTCATATATTTTGAAAGCAGCCACTATTAAAGTGCTAAGTAATAAATAATGTATCTTATCATTTATTTGACATCAAGGAACACTTAATTTGAATAAAATCTTCAAGAATAAACACTTGGCACGTTAATTGTGCTTGGGATATAAATATTAATACCCAGGAAGATTTTCAGTGAGAAATGCAAACTTTAGCATTAATTTAGTATCAGAGGCACAGCCAAGGTGTGTTTTTTCTAAATCTGTAACACATTTACATCAAATTACCAGGCATAATTTTGAAATTAATTAGAATTCAGAGCATCTGTTTGCTTGCTATTAACTAATGATTTAGAACTATCCAAATGACTATGTACTTTAAAAAAATTCAACAGTACCACTTAACTTGCAAAGTTATTCTTGTCAGTTACAACCTCTTTTGTGAATTTCTTTTTTAATTTTTTTAGCCCCAGCCACTTGTTTTCTGGCTGCTCAAAGCTTCCAAAATGTGTCTAAAAAGAGGATGTGCTTTATCACTTAGTTATCAAACTGTTTATAGGCAAATATTTACCACCATTTCTAATACTTACCTTTATGTTTAAGTTCATTTCATTGTTATCATCAGTAAAGCTGCTTTTAACCATGATGTTTTCCAGTTTTAGGTCTCTATGTACTATATCTACCAAGAAAATAAACAACAAATCAAATGAAATGAATAATGGAAAAATAATTAGAGGGGACACAGATACAACAGATAAATATGTTGGACAGATTAATGTCCACCGTTGAAATATTTGAGGTGGGCCAAGCATAATTCTGCTCTGTTCCATTTCCTTATATTCCGATCCCTGTTCTCCACGTTTCTAACCACCTTCTTTGACTCCCTCACCTCTCCCCACTCGCCTGCTGCCCCACCTGGCTGCTGCTCTTCAGGACGAGTAGCTGGTGAGTGTGGAAGAAGATCCTGCCCAGGGTCAGGAATTACCAGCAGGAGGGAGACAAGTGTAGTTACAAGCCCAGGGAGGTTTCACATACCCTTAGATCTTCAAGTAGAGGATTACTTCTCTCCTTCTGTGCATAGGGTATTGCCAATATAAACACTTAACACACTGCAACCCGGCTACATGTATACAAACTACACTTACTTTGGTATATTTTTCTATAACATCAGCACACACTTCACTACCCTTTATATGTTAAAATAAAAAACAAGCAAACACTCTTGAGACACAAAATCTCCAGGTGAACGTGTTAGACCTCAGGCAGGGTTTTTATGTACATGCAGATAATCATGTTCCAAGCACTTCCTTTGCAGATAACTGATTTGGTTCATATCCACAGCAATCACTTCTCCAGGCCTAAAAGGTTATATGTACAATGGCTGGAAAAATGTAGCTGAATGAGCCCTGGTCTGGCAATTATACCCAACCATTTGTAGATCCCTTACACAGTTCCCAGCCTATAATTTTGGGGTTTTTATTGTTTCTATTGCTCTGCTTACCTCTTCTTACATAAATACCACATCGTTTTAATTAACATATCTTTATAGTATGTTTTGATTCTTGGTGGGGCAAGTCTCCTTGCTGTTCCATTGTTCTTTTTCATTGTTTTCTTTGCTCTTCTCACCCATTTCAGAATAATTTTATCACATTTCATGAAAAATCTGGTTAAGATTTTTGTTTTGAATTATACTGGATTTATAGCTTGATGTGGGAAAACTGACAGCGTAATATTATGGATTGGTTTGCCAGCCTCGCAAAAACTGTTGTGCTCTACCTGAAAGCCCTCCCTTTTCCATCTGAGTCAGTATCCCTCAGCTCGTGTTTTGCCTCCTCTGTGAATTGTCCCCTGCCTTTCGAAACTGAATGAGGCCCTGTTACGCCTATGCTCCTTGCACTTTCTGTGTCTCCCTGTTAGGGAAAGTACCACGTTGAATTACGATTCTATATTCAATCTCCTACCAGCCTGAATTCTTAGAGGAGCAGGGGCCTTGTCTTCTAATCTTTGTTATTCTAGGACTGACCACAATGCAGTAGGTGCTCAGGGAGTATCTGCTGAATGAACCCTTGGGTTCCAGTACTGGCTCTGCCACACCTAACATGGCACTGCACCTCTCTAGGACAAAGTTTTCTCTCATCTATTAAATGAAAAGGGTCCAAAATCACACATAAGCCAACTAATCTTGAAGGAGGAAAAAAAAAAAGGAAGGAGCATAAGGAAAAGCAGCAACACAAAAGAAAAGCAATTAGAATAACTAGAATAATTTTTAAAGGTGGATTTGAAGGTAGTGAAACTGTTCTGTATGATACTATAATGGTGGATACAGGTCATTAAACATTGGTTGAAACCCATAGAATATAAAACACCAAGGGTGATCCCAGTGTAAAGTATGGACTCTGGGTGACAATGATGTGTCAACTGTAGGTTCATCAATTATAAAAATGTCTCTGTGTTGGGGGGTTGCTGATAATGGGGGAGGCTGTGCAGTATGGGCAGGGGGTATACAGGCATCCCCCACTTTTCAATCGTTCATGTCACACCACTTCACTTTTATAAAAGACCTACATTAGTACCTGTTTTCACTAACTAATAGAAATCCAAAGAGGATTTTTGCTTTTATGAAAAAATATGAAAGAAAAAAAAATGAGTTTAGCATTTGTTTCGAGGGAGCCTTATAGAGGAGCGCGCACCCTGCGCAGCGTGAGGGGCGCCGCCTTGCGCCTTTCCCGGGAAGTGCACTCAGCATCTCGGCGTCGAGCTTTGAACTGTGTCTGTGAGCATCTGGGCTTTATCTCGATTTATTTTGTGCATCTGTTAACAAGATGTGTCCTAAGGTATCAAAAAAGGCTAAGAGAGCTCATAAGGGTGTTACAGTTACTGTAAAACTGGACGTAATTAAGCATTTTGATCATAGTGAATGAAATAAAGATACTATGTATGCGCTGAACTTGCCCGCATCCACCGCTTGCACCATTTATACACAGAGATAAACAATCTTGAAAACTGCCAAAGTCACTATTGGTTTTCAAGTAGCAAAGTCAGTATCCAGTAATGGACAAAATGGAAAGTCTGCTGCTTGAGTGGATTGATGGCTATACAAGACACGCTGTGTATTTATCATATCGTTCCTGCTCTTACTGTGTGTTAGCGTTATTTGGTGTGATTTGGTAGGCTATTTTATGGGCCTGAGAACACTCAAAAACTTGTCCATATAAATCAATGGTAATTCTTTGCTTCGCACCATTTCAGCTTACAGAAGGTTTCACAGGGGTGCTCTACGTTCAGATGGTGGGGAAACCTGTGTGGGAAATCTCTACAACTTCTGCTCAGTTTTGCTGTGAACCTAAAATGACTCTAAACAACAAAAACAAAATGCAGAGAAAAATTTTTAAATTATTCATATGTAAATGTTTTAAGAATTTCACTATTATAGATTTGTCTATTTTCGATTTGATAATAATGGCTGGTTTTCACACTGCTGACTAGAAATGTTCGGAAGTTCATCTTTGTCCATGTACTGTGTAATTGTATGCCCACCTTGTTTCCAATTGAAATATCTTTAAATAAAGTTTAAAAGGAAAACATTTTAAATTCTTAAACACAATCTCCTGTACTAGCAGACGCTCTTTCTGCGACTATGAACCCTGAGTAGGGTCGCCCTGAACCCACGCGTTCTGCATCCGCGGAGTCGGGCCTGGGAGGCCCTTCTTACCGTTGCTGTGAAGATACGCGATAGCTGAGGCGAGGCTCTGAATGATCCACCTGGTCTCATTCTCGGAGAAATGCCCTTTCTTGTTCAGCATTTCCTTCAGTTCTCCATCCTCACAAAGCTCCATCACAAGGTACATTTTCTGACATTACATATTTAAAGAGAGGGAGAGATCAAGTTATAGAGGTGGGGATCTTAAACGTGATATATTATATATATAGTAAAAATATGATCAAAATCTTAATCATCAATCTGTTTGAAAAATATTTATTATCTCTCATGTACAAGATACTGTGCAGGATGCTAGAGGGACACGGAAGCATAAGACACAGTCTTTACCCTCAAGGAGCTCACAATGTAGTTATACTTAATATCAGGTGGTAACTGCTGGTGGAAGAGGCGGGCCCAAAGTGCCATGAGGTTACAGAGGACAGAGGATGGGAGCCTCTGCCTAAAAAATGCTCCCTGAGGAGGTGATGTTAAAGGCAGGCCTGGATGACTGAGTAGCAATACAGGGGTAGGGAATGTGGGCAAGAACAGGTAGAACACGTGGTATTTGCAAAGACTACAAAACTTGAAATGACACTGGCTGTTAAGAGAATGACAAATACCTCAGTGTTAATAGCACTGGGAGTTTGGTAGGGCTGAGGAGAGTGAGAGTGGGGGCAGTGGCGGGGGTGACGGTGGGGGGCTGAGGCTGAAAGAACAGGCTGGTGCCAGGTTGTAAAGAGTCTCGGATATCACAAGGAGTTTGGAACTTGTCCCCGTCTGCAGCAAGGAGCCACTGAGGATTCAGAAGCCGGTGTCTGGGGTGGGGGAAAGGTGTATGCTAAGATCAGCTTTGCATTTCTAAATGAACACTCTAGCAGGAACGTGGAGCCAGGCTCAGCAAGCTTTTTCTGTAAAGACCAGAATCAGACAAGAAATACTTTCAGCTTTGCAGGCCATACAACCTCTCTCTTTTGTAGCTACTCAGCTCTGCTGTTGTAGCATAAAAGCAATCGTAAGCAATCCAACAAAACTTTATTTATGGACTTTGAAATTTCAGTTTCATATAATTTTCACATCATGAAGTATTACTCTTAAAATTTCTTTCAACCACTTAAAAACAAAAGAACCTTAGCTTATGAGTCATAAAAAAAATAGGCAGCGCACCAGATTTGGCTTGCACACAGTGGTGTGCTGACCTGTTTGCAGAGGGCAGATGTGAGGCGCAGAATGGAGACAAGAAGGGGAGGAAGAGAAAGATGTGAAAGGTACGAAGAGAAAGAAACAGTGGGACTTAGTGACTAATGGGCTGTGCGTGGTGAAAGCCATAGATGAAATGCTCTTCCAGATTGCTGGATGTTGGTGCATATTAAGATCACGTTAGGTATTCCAACAGTCAGGTCATCTATTGAATCAAAAAGATCCACAGCCAACTAAAATGCAAGTCTTTTCCACACGCGTTGTTTTTCAGTCACAGAACACCCTCTCGTTCTCCATTCTATTCCGCGCTGCTCGACTTCTGTTGTTGTTTTTAAGATTTGGGGTCTGATTCTATTCTGTAACCACTAGGAATGCAACTTCTGTGTTCAATCGGCAAACTTGGAAACAGGAAAAGAAGGTTAACACCTTTTCTTTTTATAGTCAAAATTCTGACTCACTAAACCTCAGGATGCTTTAGAATTTCAAAGTTAACCATTCTGCAAAGTCTAACACAAATAAGCTTTGTAACAAGGCCATGTTTCTTCTGACGGCACTGCAGAGATCACTGGTACATGAAATGGTAAGTGAACTATTTAGAAGGAACAGTTACATTAGCCAACAATACAAATAAAATCAATTTTAAATATGTACATTGATACAAGTTATAGCAATACAAGTTTTTTTAAGTCTTTTTATAATTATTAGAAATAATCATGTCAATCTGGAGAACATTTGGACTCGAAAGAAACCATAACATAGTCAGCCTGGGTGATCAGTACTAATATCACAGCCTAACCAATCAGCTGGCAATTTCCAGTCATTCTAAAGGTGGCTTCCATGGAAAGTCTAGGCATTTGTGTGAGCTGGGGAGCGAGGGGAGGCAGGTCTGACCTACATGAATCAACAGCATGAAGTACATGAAACGACAATCATAGATAATGGTTTTGTTACCTTCTAACTATTCTACACTATGCAGCTATAAAAAAGAAGGATCTTTTACCCTTTGAGACAGCATGGAGGGACCTATTCTAGATTTGGAACTTCACTTGTGCCCAAGATGGAGTAACAGAGACCAGACTTACCCTCCCTCCTGCAATAACTTAAGGAATAGATAAAATATATAAAACAACAAGTTTGAGGCATTAGACATCAGGCAGTGTTCCCTGAGAGAGGGGAAACACAAGAGACAAGTACAGAATTATTCTGGTTTGCTGTCTGGAGAGAGCGTCCAGGCCACAGAGCAGGAAGAAGTAAAGTAGAGCCCAACAGTCTCCATGAATTGAGGCGATGGAGCCGGAGTCCAGGAAGGCCAAGACTCCTAAAGTTCCCAGGGCAGAGTACCAAAGAGGAGAAAGCTGTACACAGAGAAAGCTCCAGAGATTGGCAGAGGGTCACCCTCGGGGCTTCAGCAGAATACTTATCAGCACAAGCGTATGGGGAAACTTCCAAAAGCTAGAAAAAGAACCATGCAAAAGGAACAGAGGGAACAATCACTGGAGCGTACACATGGTCAGGGTGGAAAATCTCATCATTCATGGAGCTTTGGGTAGAGTGCTCAGAAGGGTCTTTCCTCCTAAGCAGGAAAAAATCAGCCCTAGACCAAAGGGTGCTCCACTGTCACCTAACAAACCTTAAAGCCAGCTTCAAAAGTCTCAGACAGTTTCCAAGTCACTTAACTATGTCCCACAATAAAGCCAAAGAGTAGCTATAAAAATATAAAAATATCCAGCAACCAATAAAAAAATAACAGACATCTAAAGACACAGGAAAATATAACCTGTAATGAAGGAAAAGAAAATCAGTCAAAGCTGACCTAGAAATGACACATGATGGAAGGAGAAAAGGGCATTAAAATTTATTATAACTATATTTAAGGAGGAGGAAATACTGGCTCAAACTAAATTTCCATCGGAAAGGACAAATAGTGTGTACAACGCTACAGAAAAGGAGGTTGCTGCATCTGAAAACGTCACAACAGAAACTAAGCTAAATGCAACAAGGACAGAAAACAGATTTTAAAAATGAAAAGAGCATCAGTAAGCTGTGGGCTGACACGAAGCAATCTAGTATGCGTACTTGGAGTCCCCAAAATGGGAGATGGCAGAAAAAATATTTAAAGAAATAATGGCCAGAAATTTCCTAAATTTGATGAAAACCATCAACTCACAGACCCAAGAGGCTCCATGAACCACCAGCATAAGAAGCATGAAGGAAACTATACCAAGACACAACATAATCAAACTGCTTAAAACTATTGATTAAAGAGCAAAATTATTTTAAGAAGATTAGGAGATAAAAAAACCATGACTTTAAGACTGAAAGTAGAGAAGACTTTCAGCACCCTTGCCACATGCTGTTCCCATGAAGGATACCTGTGGTCTTTGGTAGGTACTACGCACTCCTAATGAATCAAGCATCACTGCCTTAGGGACTGACAAAGGAAACAAAGAACAATAGCTAACATTTAATGAGACAGATATTTTATATCCACTTTCCCATTTAATCACTCAACAGCCAAATGAAGTCAATACTATTATTAAACCCATTTTACAGATGAGGAAACTGAGGTTTAGAGAGGTCGAGTAATTTGTCATGGTCTCATAGCCAATAATGGAGCCAGAATTCAAATGCACAGGCAATCTGACCCCAGAGTCCACATGCCTAATCACTAAATTACTTTGCCTCCAAGCCAAGAAACACCCAAAGCCCACAGGCACTAAACAATCTGGAGGTAGAATGGCAAATCCCGGGGCTTCAGAATAACTCTAAATGAAAATTACAGGCATTCAAAGAGAAGGATGATAACATCTAGGGAAGAAGGAAGATTAAACATGTTGGTAAGACACAGACAACAAAAATACCTTCTACATAGTGCCAAATATACCCATGCTAACTTTATTAGAAAGCTAACCTTGCAAAATTATGACAATATTCCAAGAGACTATAATGGAGAAACCAAGGACCAAAGCAAAATAAAGCCATCTCTAAGGAAATTCTAATCACCGGTTGTGTGTGAAGTTGTTTCAATTTTAAACATTTGTTTTCAATATGCCACCTAAAAATATCACTAAAGCCATCAATCTAATCATCAGGCACCTAATTATACAATCAATAATAAAAGTCCTCCAGAACGCTCTCATCAATCTTCAGTGACAAACTCATGCCAAGGACATGAGCAGCTGTGCCTCAGAGGGATTACTTCAGAGAGGAATAATGTTCATTTTGTAATAATAACAACTTTCACAGCGCAGCCCCTGCTAAAGCATTACCTTGGGCGTCTCAAACACTTGTTCCAGATGTATGATGTGCTCATGTTTCACCCTTTTTAGGATTTCCACCTCCTGTTCAAGTAACTTCACAGCAGAGCTTCCAGCCTTAAATAATGAGGACATAGAGATGTCACATATGAATGTCACTACTACGTACCTCAACATAAAAGTTACAGTAATTCTTTTTCCCCCTACATTTTCTTGAGAGAAAAACACACGTGCAACTTATTTCCATAATAAAATTAAATTATGCCCCTTTCTCCAATTTTATATATAATTTTATATATACTTTTGCTTCAAACTACATATGTTTCTTGGACTTTTGCTATAAATTAGCTACAATATGGTCTCTGTTCCTTCACAAAAATTATTCCAATTTTTAATATGCTTTTTGGTATTTCCTTCAGAATCCTGTCGATCCTTTGATGTTTGCATAATAAAAACAAAATCTACTTTCCAAGGACATCAATTGGAGAAGATAAAAACAAAGTGTTTTTTCTATTTTGTTGTTTTGCTTTGATTATATTTATATACATCAAAAGAAACAATAGGACGAGAGATTCTAAACTCAGCCCTGCATTATACCACTTCCTGGTCCCCAAGCTTCAAAAATTACCTGCGAAAGAGAAATTGAGATCTTGCCTTCCGACCAGTGTCACTCCAGCTTTATCCCCTTACATGTAGCCCTTAGCCACGCCTGACCGCAACAGCAAAGGCAGCGACACCCCAGGGGGCACAATGCTCCAGTCAGGGTGTAAGTCACTGATTTTCTACCATGTCCTCTAAGAATTTTAGAAGGACTTTCTCCCCCTTCACTGCCACTACCACCACCCCAATCATCACCCCTATTGGATCTAAATTAGCATCATTATTTGCAAATAAGCATTGTGGTCAGGCAGGGAAAGCACCCCTGAAAGGGATAACAGAGGCTTTACCCCTTCCTGCCGCCTCACGCCCCTCCTCTCCTCCCAGTTCAGGAGCGTGCGCACAGTTCTTAAAGGCAACCTTAGCTAAGTAAAAATTTTACCTGGGGTCACTCCTGCTTCCAGTGACTTTTACCCTTAACCACTGCCACCTCGGGAGCCAGCAGGAAACCACTCTCCCATGGAGGCTGAAAGTCACATTTTAAGGTTATTCTAAGAGGGTTAAGAGAAATAGTGACTATGAGGAGTGAATTTCTGCCTCGACATGGAAAGTTACCACAATTTCTCCTAAAATCCACCTCAATTGTTTCTACTTCCCTCCCAAACAGCTTGACCTGTATATAACACAATAATATACTATCCAATTCATACACTGATTATATAATTCTGTTTTACTATCTCAGTGTCCTGTAAACTCTCAGCATCAATATTAGTGTACAAGATTGTGAATTCCTAAAATTGCAAGCCAGGTATCCTGACTATATAACCCTAAGCCTAAGCCCTAACCCTATCTGATGCCAAAGGGGCAAAGGAAACAATATCCCATGTAGCACTGTGTCTCTAAAATTCTGAAGGTTTGTAGAAAAGCTCTGGATCTCTGTTATATATAAGATTCATATGTTACTTTATTACCTTTAAGGAGAAATGGTATATAATTTGCTATCATTTGTTTTAAAGAATACATAAAATACCTACTATCTCATTTTGTAATTGTAATATTTATCATCAGAAATCTAAGGAAAAGCCCTGGCCGGCGTGGCTCAGTTGGTGGGGTGTCGTCCCATGCACCAGGAGGTCACTGGTTTGATTCCTGGTCAGGGCACAGGCCTGGGTTGCAGGCTCGATCCCCGGACTGGGCGTGCAGGAGGCAGCAGCTCGATGTTTTGCTCTCTCTCTCTCCCCTTTCCTTCCTCTCTCTCTAAAAGTCAATTTTAAAAAATAATAAAATAAGATAAAACACGAGTGAGAACATTGCAACACACATGACAGTTACTTTTTAAGAAAGAAAGAGAGAGAGAGAGAGAGAGAGAGAGAGAGAGAGAGAGAGAGAGAGAGAGAGAGAAAGAAGGAAAGAAAGGAAAAGAAAAGAAAAGAAGAAAGGAAAGGAAAGGAAAGGAAAGGAAAGGAAAGGAAAGGAAAGGAAAGGAAAGGAAAGGAAAGGAAAGGAAAGGAAAGGGAAAAGGAAAGGAAAAGGAAAGGAAAAGGAAAAGGAAAAGGAAAAGGAAAGGAAAAGGAAAAGGAAAAGGAAAGGAAAGAAAAGAAAAGAAATGAAAAGAAATGAAAAGAAAAGAAAAGAAAAGAAAAGAAAAGAAAAGAAATGAAAAGAAAAGAAAAGAAAAGAAAAGAAAAGAAGAAAAGAGAAATCTAAGGGAAAAAATCATAGTTTTTCCCCAGGCACAGAAATCTTTGAAGAATTGACGAAATGATCAGGTTTCAACCTGAGAACTTAGGCTCTCTCTTAAAGAGAAGCCCAGTCATTCTCCGGCCCAGGAGAAATCCAGTGAGGAATCCAGGGGATACAAGTTAACAGCATAATAGATAGTTGGGGAAAAGGTGGTTCACACTGAAGGAGCAGGCAGGGTGAACGCACAGAATAAACTAACGACGAGGAAAGGGGAAGTCACAGGAAAGGGGAGAGCAGGAGGAAGCGGAGCAGAGCGACGCGAGGAGAGGAGCAGGAGGAAGCAGGGCAGAGCGACGCGAGGAGAGGAGCAGGAGGAAGCAGGGCAGAGCGACGCGAGGAGAGGAGCAGGAGGAAGCAGGGCAGAGCGACGCGAGGAGAGGAGCAGGAGGAAGCAGGGCAGAGCGACGCGAGGAGAGGAGCAGGAGGAAGCAGGGCAGAGCGACGCGAGGAGAGGAGCAGGAGGAAGCAGGGCAGAGCGACGCGAGGAGAGGAGCAGGAGGAAGCAGGGCAGAGCGACGCGAGGAGAGGAGCAGGAGGAAGCAGGGCAGAGCGACGCGAGGAGAGGAGCAGGAGGAAGCAGGGCAGAGCGACGCGAGGAGAGGAGCAGGAGGAAGCAGGGCAGAGCGACGCGAGGAGAGGAGCAGGAGGAAGCAGGGCAGAGCGACGCGAGGAGAGGAGCAGGAGGAAGCAGGGCAGAGCGACGCGAGGAGAGGGGCAGGAGGAAGCAGGGCAGAGCGACGCGAGGAGAGGGGCAGGAGGAAGCAGGGCAGAGCGACGCGAGGAGAGGGGCAGGAGGAAGCAGGGCAGAGCGACGCGAGGAGAGGCCCGGCGCGCTGCTGGCCTGGACACCGCCCGCCGGCAGCCCTGCATCCACACGTCTGACCAGCAGGCCTCACCTTCAGCTCACTCTGGTAACCTGTACCTATATTTGGTTATACTGGCTATGGTAGCTATCTTTCCATTTGCTTTTTCCAGACACACTTGTCTACCTGCGTTTAAGAACTGATCCCTTCGCAGAAGGCTAGAGAAACGTGCACAGGCCCCGGGGAGCAGCCCGACCCCGGCCCACAAGGTCAGAGGCAGGCGTGTTCGCATCAGAACTGTGCTGCCCGCCCCGCCCCGCCCGGCGCGGCCACTGCCACTGCCTCGGTGGGATGCTGCTAGTAAGCCTTACCTTTTCTTTGTTCACTTTTTTAATTGCCCACTTAGTTTCTGTTTCCTTGTCTGTAGCTTCAATGACCACTCCAAAGCTCCCTTTTCCCAATATTCTTCCAAATACATATAGTTCCTGGGTAAAAAACAAGGGTTCGTTGGGTGTTACAAATGAATACACAATGCTGACAGATATCCACCCCAGGGAAGAGAGGTTCCGCTCCAGGGTAAAATCAAATAAAAGATGCCACGTATCTGATTCAAAATTAATAAACACATCTTAATTAAACAAAATAAGCTTTGGTGAATTTCATTAAATGTCCTTTGGAGGAAAACCATAAAAATCCTAATGAAGAAATGTGGAAAGCCACAAAAGTATGAAAATGAACCCCTTGCAAACTATAATATTAATAAAATATCTTCATAAGAAAAAGAAACAATGGAATATTAATACATACGTACATATATGTGTATAAAATATATTCACACCCAAAATTATCCCAAAACTCTGAGAGCTGTACTATAAAATTAACACATATTAACCATTGACAATTGCTTTCTTGTTTGCCAAATAACACTTTATCTTCATTAATTTATTAAAAATCACTTTTGTTGTTTTATTCTAGAAAAAGCAATATGTGACAGAAATTTTAATATAAATCAGCACTGAGAAGAAAACAAAAACCATCTGTAGTAATACTGTCCAGACCAAGAATCCTTCCACTTACCATTCAGCTTCTGCCTACAAACACAGAAAGCACTGGTTTTGCCAACACCAGCATTCTGGTTCACACTGTAAGATAACCAGCCACTCATTTACACTTTCATTTCCTGTGAATTTGGTTGGGAGGAGTCAGTTTCCATAATCCAAACCAACTTGAGGGCATTAACAAGAATTTCTGGATATTGAGAGAGTTTCTGAACAAGAGAGAACAGCTGAGGTAATGCCACTAGGTGACACCTCTGCTGGGTCTGCAGCCAGTCTTCCCTAGAACTGCTGCTCTTTCCCTGTGATCACCTTCACCTTTACCTTCACCATGCAACAGGTAAATTAGTTGCTAGTCTTCATATTTTCTACTGCTTACTTTGCTTTCTTACTTTAGTAAAAGAAGATTCAATGTCCAACTGATTATTTACCTCTTTCATGAAGGGCTGCCCTGCCTAACTGCACTGTGGTCAGACTGTTCCTTTTATTGACTCCTTGCAGCATGTATGCACTGGTCCCCAAACACTATTATTACTCTCTTGCTTATTTCAC